CAACGACCGTATTTTTAAACTGCGACGTTTTGGATCGCTTGATTTTCAATGACGATGTTTTATGTCGATGTTTTCGATTGACGATCTTTTAGAACTTCTAGGTTTTCTCCTGCGGTATTTTGTAAAGAACGACATTTTTCGACTAGCTTTTTCGTTTCTCCGAGACGTTTTTATCCGCAATGTTGTTGCTTCTAACCCAGGTAAGCATACTCTTATTTGGCATTGCTACATAGAATGCTACGTAGAATGTAGTCTCATAGATTATACGATATACCTCTTTTCCCATTATTTTCCGACTTTACCCGCTCTTGCTGTATTTTATAACTCATATCCCTCAGTACATGCTCATCATTGCATAATCTTCATCGGCCTTAAAATTTCCTGAATAAAACAATAATTTTAAATTCCCACCTGTAAGTAGTTCAATGCCGTTATGTTCATTAAGTGCAACTTGAACTTCGCAATAATTGACAAAACGAAAAAGAAGCCCCATGTGCATTACTGTAACGAATGACACATTTTTTTTCGTCACCCTAACAATGGCAATTTGCGCTCATCCATTCTAAATACTTGCACATCCGTCAACGGACCATAAGCATAAATGACCTCCAGTTAATAAAAAGCTGACGAAATTTTATTGCGATGAAATCGAAAATGAATCGCGTAATTTAATTGGTTATTTTAAAAAAGAAACATCCTCCGAAAAAAATATTTCGAAATTATTTATCAACAAAAACACCAGCACCCCAACAACAACTTCAGGAAAGAATGAACGCGTTTATTAATAGGAAAAGCGGGAGTCAAAACAAAAGGCAGACGATCTTTCCGCAGTGCAAAGAGTCGTTCCATTGTTCTTTTATTATTTTTATTTCAGAAACGGAATAGGAAGAAAAAGAATTTGGAAATACCCGGATTTGTGAGCGAATGCACGGGGCAGTGGGTCACGGCTAAAGCCTAAAGTATTTCATTTAGAAAACTGAAATGGTACCAGACTATAGTTGGAGATTTTTCTTGTTGACTAATCTGAGCTTGAATTATCTTATTTATATTAATTATCTCAAGAATGTTTCTTTTGAATTTAAGATAAAAATTATTGTTAATTTTTTCAAATTGAACTGTCGGTCATTTGTTCATTATGCATTCATCGTAAAAGACCAGACGTGTCGATCACTTAGCAGTGTTGTCATTCAGAACATTGTCCATGCTGCATCACAAGAAGTAACTATTATTATACTTTCCGCGGGGGTGGGGAGAGAATGCACATGCACATACAGTAAAGAAAATAAAACCAGTCCTTAGCTTGATAAAAGTACCTCCGATATCTTAAATAGTGAGAATTTCATAGTTAACCGATTTCTTATTTCGCATATTATATTTTAAAATTATGGGAGAAAATATTTTAAACTAATTTTAAAATAGCATTCTCATTACAGCTTAGGTATTTATCATAGTGTGATCTTTATGTTTACCTTTTGACAAAATATGTCTAATGTTGTCTAACTAGTTTTAAAGAATCACAAAAGAAGAGAACAAAAAATAGATCAACAGTTTTCTCAGCTCTATAACAATGCTTTTATAATAAAAAGGTTTTTTTAAGATATTCTTTAAAAGGATGCTGTAAAAGTCCTTATGAGAGATACTCTCTTCCCTAAAAATCATATCCCTATAAGAAATGCCTTATACCCAAAGATGCCTGTAAGAAATAAATTAATTTCCAAAAATTCCCTATAAAATGTCTTTTTCCTCATAATCACTATAAGAAATGCTTTTGTACTCATATGCTTAAAAAAATTAATTTCTTTCTCCAAACTCCCTATATGAAGTACTGTTATTTCCCAATATCACTATAAGGAATACTTTTATACACAAAAATGCTTGTAAGAAATAACTTTATTGGCGAACAATCCCTATAAAAACTGTTTTTGTCAGTAAAAGTCTCTATAAGAATTGATTTTATACCAAACAATACCTGTAAAAATTATTTTACTCTCCCACATCCCTGTAAAGAAATGTTGTTTTCCCAAAAACTTCTGTAAGAAAGGATTTTCTCCTTAACAAATCACCAGCTATAAGTACTTATATTTCAAATGTAATCACTCGGTAATCTTGTTACCTTGACTTGAGGAAAACATTTATAATATTGTCTATGTTTTTATCTCGTAACTATCGTTCATACTGCATGCTCACTAGTATTCCTATTTCATAACTCAAAAAGGACGTTTAAAAATTCATGGTAAACGTTTAGAAATACATGGTATTAAAACTTCGAAGTGCAAACTAAGCCCACATTTTTAATCAGAAGGGGAAAAAACCATCATTCATTAGTTCTACACAGAAAGAAGATTCAAACGAATTCCCGAGAAATAAACGTACTGTGTTTAATGTTTCTAAAATTAAATAATTGGTAACAAGACAACATCGGCTCGCGGAAATCAATTGCAAAGTCTTTATATACATCTGTAGCAACAAAAAATAAAATAATAAACCAAGATTTACAAATTAAAAAAGCTAAAAAATATAATTCTCACCAGCTTTTGTCGAGGCATGCGGCTCAATGCAGAGCAATTTGTACGCGCCTGTTTGAAAATTATTTAGAAGGAGCAATGGCTTTAAACCTTTATGCCTCCTTCTTCAACTGCCTGAAATGAAACTGCACACACTTCACGTCCTGCAGAAAAATTTAGTTCGTGCCTTTAAACGACAAGCCGTGAGTTAAAATGCAACCCCTTTGCCATAGTGTCAAATTTTTACCGTCAAATTTTTTTAATGAGTGAGAACGTGGATCAAACCTGCTATGACACATAAAAAAGTTGCAAGTCCCGTATTTATTAATTTTATTATATCAGCCATCTATTAGTGAATCATAATAATATGGGAGGGCTTCTAGAGACTCTACGTCGCTGGTTTCACTAAAACGTTCTTAATTTAGGGTTTATAAGTATCAGCATCAATGTTATCCATTCGGTGAACTTTTGAAACTCTGATTTTCGTTTGTGTAGCCGATAAAATTATAAATCTTTTTTGGTAGAACTCTTGGAATTCAAAGAAAATTAAATGTTTAAAAATATTTTTAAAAATGTTTTTAAAACGTAATTTTTTTATTTGAAACTCATAAAATATTTCCCGTGGGCTATACATATTAAATCTTCATTCAATTTCACCATTTAAACAAGTATTCAGGCAAGTAGAGAAAAACGATATGATAGGTTTTTCTGCATTACCTTCCTCTTTATTCAGCAATTTTTAAGTCTCTAAAGTGGTTTTAAAGTCCTTGAGCCTTGTTTAATGTAGTCAATGCATGGGACATATATGTCCCAGCCCCGGAAAAAGGTTTTAATGAACTAAAAAAGGAGAAAAATGATTTATCATGTAGTTTAATGGGAAACATAGATAAAATTATTAATTCCCTTTACAGATCTAATCTACAGTTTTAGTTGTTTATGTTATATCATTACATTATGGTATATCATTTACTTTCGATCAATATTTTAAAACAAATTTCTATCGGTAAAAAAAATCTTTTCTTTTTTCTTCAGCAACAAGGGGTAAGATTGATTTCATTTTTGTAAACATTTTTATAAATTTCTCTTTGACGAAAATTTGTGCTTCAGAAGAATTCTTTCCATTGGCACGTACTTTCCATTCATCTGGATATGGTAAGAATTTTACATTTTATTTAATTTAATTTGCTTCTGAAAAAAAATTAAAGCGTCAGCTTTTAAGAAACGTTTGCTCAAATAATAAAATTTTGCTTTTCTTCTTGATTTGGTCGAAAGAATTTAATAGCAAACTTCTACAAAGAAAATTTTTAATTCTCATAAAAATTTAAACTTTTATAAATCCTTAACTAATAATTGAACCTAAATGTTGCCTATTTTATTCATTACATGATTAGGAACTAATAGTTTCTAGATAGGTAATCTTATATTAATTTCCTTCTCAACATTTCGGTCTTCGTCTTCTGTCTACATTATTATCACATCAAAATTATTATTGCATATGCTTTAATTTTCTTGAAACGGTAATATACTTTTTAATATTTTGTTACGTTTCTAACCACTTTATAAAAAAAGAAATGAAGAAACAAACGCTGTATCTTTTCAAATTAAAAAAAAATATAATAAGTTTTAACTACAGTCAATAGTTAAGGTTTAGTAGGTTAACAATAGTAGATATCATTTTTATTTAAGAAGAAAAGCGAAATATTTGTATGAATCTTTTTTGTATATTTGTATGAATTTGAAATAAAATACATGGTATACTCATCTTCGGAGATTTTTACAGTAATTTTAAATTTCTAAGTTGGATTTCCATTTCAGGGAAGACAGGAGAATTGCTTGTGACAAAACACAGTACAGTTCCTATAAAATTACGCATTTCGATACTATGTTGCTGAACGGTCAAAAGTATGCGCACTGAGAAAAATAAGAATTAAGGAAAGATTATAACATAAGACAGTGTAAGACAGTTTGGAAGCATCTGAATTACTTTGCACGATAATGACGCCAGTCTTCAAAAGTATATAACTTTTAGAATTTATAAGCTAGGTTCACTCTTGGTGTTTATCGTTATGGTAGGACGTCTGTCATAAATTTTTCAGCTTACTTTCTAGTAAGCTATGAAATTCAAATTTTGTACATTCATTTGTTAGTGTGTACAACAATGCAAAACATTTTTTAAAACGTCAATTTAATTTTTTTTTAATCTAACCATAAAACAGAGTGGAAAACATTCTTTGAAATGAAATTTATAAGAGATTTTAACTTAATCTCTGTTTTTTTTTTTTTTTTTTTTTTTTGTTTGTTTTTGTTTTTGCTAAATCTCTACGTGGTTTTGATGGTTTGACGCTAACAATTGTTGAGAGTATTAGAGATGATTATTCATTGTTGAAAAAAGATTTATCAGTTGAATAATTTGATTGATAACGTTCCATTGAGAACAAAAAAGTGAAGAGAACCTAGAAATAAAATAATCCAGAAAACGAGACTCTATAATGCAAAGATAATATTTATTAAAATTAACAATAGAAGAACGTAATGTAAAACAAAAACAACTAAAGGAGAAATGGTTTAAAGCATCGTGCCTCCTACAGTAAAGCCAGTACTGAGCTTTCTGGAACAGTAGCAATACAGCCATAAGAGTGCAACTGTTTGTAATAACAGCCTGTAACGCAGACTGGAATTAGCTGCAACGAGAAATCCAGGCAAAGTTCCCAAGCGGCACTCCACAATCAGGTCCAACTTCTGTGCACTTCTTCTGTGCAATCAGGTTCTTCTGTGCTTCTGAGAGTAATACACAAAATCCGGTGCAGCACCCATCCATCATTCTTAAAATTATTGATGCACTAAAAGGAAAAAAATGATTTATCAAATAGTTTAATGTAGCTGGTTGCAACCTCAAATTGCCCGTGATCGCATGCACGGTCTGGAAACAGTTCACGGGTCAAATTCTTTTTAACAAAATAAAACAATTTTAATAAGAAAATAAAAAATATTTCAACTAAATTTTAAATTTCGCTTATTTAGTATTTTTCTAAGCATACATAAACAATGATAATAATAATATGGCAAAGGAAAAAATTCAAACTTATATTTATTAGCCCAAAGGGGCAATATGACCAGAAGGGCTATTAATTTCGTTTTGGCATTTTGCGTTGATTCAAGAAAGGGAATCACTTTAAATGTTGCACTAAATATAGAGCCCGTAATTTACAGACATTAGATAATGAGAATCTGCATAAATATATGTGTGTTTCTCGTATTCTGATAAAAAACGGTACCTAGAGCTATCAAATTTTGAATAACGTAATCCTCCTCCGAATATGGCATCTGGAAGCAGTAATTTGGAATTTGTTTTATTATCGATGTCATATTTTGTAACACTTTAACAAATTTCTGATTAAGAAATTTAACAATTTTAAAGCGAGCAATGGAACATTTTTCAAGTGAGACAACACCTTGAGAATAAATAATGACAACTTAGTCTCTTTCTCTTATTTATTAATTTTGTTCTCGAAGCATAAATAAAAATACATATGTTTGTGTGTAAATACTTGTCAACTTCTTTTGTTCCTTACTACAGCTGGACACTGGATGGCGTCTCGATTCTGATAAAGTTTGCAGCCTTGGAGACAAATTACAAGAAATATCTTCATCACGGATTGTAAATGCTCATCTGCCAATCGGGTACTTTCTTATTAATTTTCAAATGTGAAAAATGGCTGCTAGCTGATAAACATATTACCAAACAAAGCGACCATTCTTAATGGAATAATCCGCAACCAATTAATATTTTGAGATGTACGAATAAATGTTAATAAAATGTGTATCTTCAAATCTTTGAATAAGATTTACACCACACTGTAAATTAATTGCTTCAGGGGCCGCCAGTTTAGGACCTCTGGTTTAATGCAAGCAAGAGATTAAATAATTCTCTTTGCAAAATTCATCTACAATTTCATTATCAGGAATAATAATAGCATTGTCAAACGTACAAACCATTAATTTCATGCATTTCCCAAAGATGTTCCATGCTTTAATTATCTGCGATATAAAATTGTAGATGAATTCTGTAAAGAGAATTATTTAATCTTTTACTTCCACTAAATTATGTAATAAATTATTTTACTACTTTTAGTTCTTTAATTATTTTATGAGTTTTAAATAAAAGTTTATTTTATAAAAGCTTTAAATTTTATTTTACATTTTATCTGTCTACCGAAATAAAGTTAATCAAAAGATTCACCTTCAATATTCAGTCGAAGATCGCTACAATGTTACGAGAATACCATAAGAATGCAACATAAAAAAAAAGAAAGAAAGAAGGAAAGCAACAGAAATTGAAAGCTTGTTCGGGCGGGAAAAAAAAGAGTGAAAGCAAAGCGAAAAAAAGAAATAAAACGATGATTTTTCACTTTCACCGTAACGGAGGACAATGAACTGCCCTATTTTGAATGGCATTCACCCAGTTTTTAACAGCTGTAGGTGGTGATACACTGAAACATCTCCGATTTTTGCTTTATTTTCTTTTTCTATTATATTTTCCCCCTAAGAGTTCTCTTTTTAGATCAACGTGTTTGGACTTAAACACGTGGTTCGGTCATTGAAGTATGTACGGCGAAGCGTGAAGACAGCGTTATTATCAGACAAGAATGTTAACACACTAAGTTATACAAATTAATGCGAATGATTAGACTGTTATTCGTTTTTCATTTCGGTATTTCCTCGTTTAGCTTTACTACAGCTCTTGCGCTTACATATTGCATTCATTTTTTTTAGTATGAAACTCTCATTAGTATTACGCTCTTGTATTTAGTAATACAGAAAACGATTTTTATTTTTATCTCTTTTACAGCAGTTCTGTTGTTGTAGACAGAAAAAAGATTCTTTTCTGCTGCAAATACCATTATTTATTCCGGTACAAATGTTATTATTTAATAAATACTAAATTTTAGAACCTATTAATTACACCTAATTCTGTTTTTACTTGAATCTTCCTATTGAATCTGGTTTAACGTCTCTTCAGAATAAATATTTCATTATCTTTATACGTGCTCCATTTTGATTTAACACGAGCGAGACGAGACAATTTCCAAGAATAATTTTCTGCCTAAAATTTTACAATGCCACTCACACTTGTTTGAGATAGATTCGAAAATCTATCACAGAGGTTCCTAATCTGAGATCCGCGTTCTTGTTAAGGACACGCGAAAAATTATTTAGTGGTCGATTGTAGCAAAGTGTTATAATAAGTGGTGATAAAAGCAAAAATATTCAGAAATTTTAAATTTCTCCTTAAAGGAAAGATTTCCGATGTGACTATTTTTAACCGAAATGTGTACAAAAACAAAGAAGTTAGTAATAACTAGTACCTACCACACCATGTCATATTACTTGATTCTTTACGCATTCTGTATAGTCATTTCTTACCCCATTTTGTCATCGCGTGTGGTATAAAATATCGTTTCTCAAACATTTTCAAGTGGGAACCATTTTTGTGAACTAGAATGTTCTGCCATTGGTTCCAGCTTGCTTACTCTTTCAAAAGCAATTTCTCTAGCATATGTTATTGCCGACGTACTTATATTTTTAAATAAAATTAATTAAAAATTCATTTGATTTTATATTGCTATCAATCAATTAAGTTAATAGGAGAAAAGTTATATTTGTTTTTAATGATTCAAGGCCATCAGAGTTGGAATAACCTTTATCTTATTGACTAAAAATTAAATAAATGTTAATAGTCATACTAATGAAATAGATGACCCTGCCGATTCTTGTAGAGCTGTTCTGTGTCAACAAGTATGTTGGTAAACTTAAGTCTAAGATCGGACCATACATCAAGATGATTTCAGTATTTTACTTTTATTTGAGTTAGGGTTGAAAACCCTTTCTCACACAGGTTCATAAAAGAGACCCGAATTATAATTTTTAAAAAACAATTATACAGTTCACCGCATTCCGTTTTCGCAGGTAATGATCTCAGAGGCGCCCAGATATGCAACGAAACGACAGCGAGACGTTCCACAATCATATCGCTTTAAATCCTTCTTTTGTTTCTAAGGCTAGAGTGGGAATTCCCGTAGGTGAGGTAAGCGGTAATATATTTAATAAAATGTCAGTCTTTGAGGAGAAAACGATAGCTGCGTAAATTAAAAACTCTGCAAGTTTCAGCTATATTGTGGTATACGCGGTTAGTTTGAATTTTACCTTTCGTCTTTTTCGGAAGTCTATGAAAGCCACAAGAGCAGGTTACGAAGACCACAGTTTGAGAAATGCTGGTACACTGCTCAAAAAAAAAAAAAAACAAAAAAAAAAAAAAAAATGGGCAGTCCTATATCTCCGATTACGCTATTGACAATTCAATTGCGTCTTCATTAGCGAAACGCGACTTAAGATCTTATAGATTTTATAGAGCATATTCTACATATGTATTTTGACACAAAATCGGATTTTTCGAAAGAACATACCAATTTTTTTACATATTTCGATTTAACACTCAATACGTCTAAATTTTGTAAATTTGGAGCGACTTTACGAAAAATTCACAAATTTGGTGGCAATATTTTGTCAGTTGGCGCCAAATACTTCACTGCGAACTTCTTATATATGGCAACCAGTTTCTTAAGAAAAAGCCCATCGTTCCTTTTCAATATCTTTATATTATTTTTAATTAAACTTATTATTTAAGTAATTTTTCTTTTCGAATTCATTTTAATTGTTTAAATTGCACTTTTTTTTCGAATAACTGTTTTAAAAATTTTCTATTTACCTATTCGAACTGCTAATAAAGGGCAGCGTTATTTTTTTTCAAATAGTTTTCTTTATAATATTTTCGTCATAGTTATTAGGTCATTAAATTTTTATACTTTTATTTTAATTGTTTGTGTTGCATTGTCTCTAGATAAATTGTTTTATTTTCTATTTATTCCTTCGAAATGAGCTTTTAAATTATTTTATTATATCAATTTCCAGAATTGATTTTTTATTAACTGCGTTTTCTTTCGGAGAATACTTGACCCAGACTACGAGAGTTGAAAAACTGAACTATTAAAAGAGAAAATACAGTAAAGCAAGTTTTACACGCCTTTCAAGTTCCTTAGAAAAGATATATATAAATAGAGAGATGTAAACCGACATTTTCTTAGTTGATTGCATACCCTGCTTAAAAGTTTATCATTGTGCCCATTGCTTACACAATTTTACCTACATTTGTTTCTTAAAATGTTTATTCATATTTAGTCAAATTTTTTTTTGAATCGCAAGAATCAAATATCAAACATTGAAAGTTTTAAATTAAAAATACAAATACAAATTGAAAAATTTATTTTTTCTTCTCTTTTTCTAAGCATTCTGAAAGTATATTAAAAGTATCCAACTTTTTCGAAAATTTTGGTATTTTTGACAATTATTTTAATAAAGTTATCGCCTTCCATTTCATAAGCCCACAAAGCGAGCGGTAAAGACGCTGATCACTGGTAGTCGGTCCGAGGTTCGAATCCCGCGAACGGGTGGGTCATGGGGTTTTTCGTGGTTTTCCCGAGTGTACGTGTATACGAGCCAGTTTCCTAGAAAGTCCTCCGAAGGCATCCCTCCCTTTAGGCAGATAGCCCTCGTGTGCGTTGCCATAATTAATAATCCAACCATTCCTTAAAATATAATTGATTGTAACTTCTACTAGAACTGACGTTAGAATGAAGTGCAAATAAATATATTCGTGTGCACTTGAAATATAAAATTAAAAATATTTGCACAGAAAATATTTGCATTCAGACAGAGTTTTTTGATATTTGCAATTACTTTATAAGAAGGATATATTAATAACCGTAATAATTACTTATTATAT